ATACTTTATAGAATCTTAGGAAAAGTTAAAAAAAAACCCAAACAGATAGTTTTTCAATTTTGGGTGTTTTAATCCTTCATAAACCTGAAGAGAACCAGGAAGACATTTCATGAGCAAAAATGTATTAATCAGTTGATCATCTACTGTTTTGCAGACACTATGTGAGGAACTACATGGTACCCAGAGAAGAGAAATCCATTGTTTCTACTCTCAAGGAGTATTTGGTCTGATGAAAGTTAAATGAGGAGTTCTATGGTCTAAAACAGCACAAATGCCATGATAAATAGTGCTGTGAGCAGGTCATTGCTATCCAGAGGAAGCAGAAAATAACAAATGCCCCAGTTGAAAAAATGTGAAAAAGGTGTGTGCTACAAACTATAGATGAAGAGTTTGATATCAATCCTGAGTTGGACTTCTTTTAAATTGACTCTTGATACTGAATAGTGGGTACCCGAAAAAATGTGAAAAAGGTGTGTGCTACAAACTATAGATGAAGAGTTTGATATCAATCCTGATTTGGACTTCTTTTAAATTGATTCTTGATACTGAATAGTGGGTACCGAAAGATAGAAATCAACAAAAGATTACTAAGAATAGGCCCATCTGATCTAACCTTATTTCCTTTCTAGGAAAAGAGTATGAAAATACCTGGATTTGAACAAGTTACTAGTCTTCCATGGTTTGCAGGCCAGATAGAGCAGGGTGGTCGAGTTGATAGATTGATAAATGGCTCACCAGCTTTATCCAGAGAGTCAGGATGAGCCTGGGAAGTGGTAATCCTAACCCTTACTCTAGTAGGCTGGACAGGACTGAGCTTTGAAGTCAGAGAGAGTTGGGTCTGAATTCCAGTTCAACACTGACTACTTGTGTGACTTTGGGCAAGTTCCTTACCCTCTCTAAACCTCAGTTTTCTTATCTTTAAAATGACAATGATAATAACACTTACTTCTTTCCATTGCTGTAAAAATGTAATTCAAAGTTCTTAAATACAGTAACTGGAACACTCTTCTCCTGAAAAAATATTAGGCATCATAATCATAATCATTATGATTAATAAAATGGAAGGAGGTCTTGAGTGACCCATCCAGAATTTCTTTTATTAGATGCCTTGGGTGAGGAAAATGAAGGCACAGCTATCAAATTCCAAATTTAACACACAGAGCTACAAATTTGTTCAGGCATCATTCTACCTTTTTGCAATTTATATTGTGCCCCTGTGGTTGGATTTTACTCTTATTTAAATTTAACTCCATCTTTTCAATGTCAGCTGATTGGTTCCTTTTTAAAATCTTTAAGTCTGCCTTTTAATATGTCAGTTTCCCTCAAAGCTGCCAAAAAGTGTCTGGGTTGAGTAACATGGTAGAGGATGATCCCATTTATTGAAATAGGGAAGACTCAGGAGATCTGTGGTTGGGGAGGGGTATAAAACTAAGAATTCCATTTTTGGTTGCATTGAATTTGAGATTCCTAAGAGATACCTACATGGGGTTGTTCAGGAGGCAAATTGTGTCTCCTGGTCTTCTGCTCAGAGAAGATTCATGACCTGGAGATATTAATCAAGCATGAAGATGGTACTTAAAGTTATTAATAGTGAAATCACAAAGTGAGAGTGTAGTCTGAGAAGAATATTAAGAACCATGTCTTGAAGAACTCTAACAGAAGCCAGATAGAGAAGGCAGAACATTTAAAAGAGACTGAGAAAGAGTTGCTAGTGGGTCAGAAAGAAAACCAGGAAAGTATGGTGTTTAGGAATATTAATGTGGAATGTATTTCAAGAAGGAAGCTGCCAAGTGTAAGGGGCAAAGTAAAAATACTGTTTTCAAAATTTGAAACTTCTATAAGACATATGTTAACCAAAGTTAAAAATCAAGCAGAAGATGGGGAGATGTATTTGCAAATTGCATAACAAAAGATTAATATCCAGAATATAATAAAGAACACGCAGCAATTAATAAGAAAAATACAACAAAGTTGTCACAAAAGGGCCAACCATATGAAGATGCAGTTCATATAAGGATAAATATAAATAATCAATAACTAATTGAAAAGATCAACAGGACAAATTATCTGGAAAATGCAAATTAAATGACAGTTTTTTAAATTAACAAAATAATAAAAAATTGATAGTACTCAGTGTTGTTGAGGGGAAGGAGTAAATAACACTCTCAAACCCCACTGATGAGAATGCAAATAGCCACAGCGTTCTAGGAGGTCAATTTTATGGGAAACATAAAAATTTTAAATGAGCATACATGTCAAAAGAGCGATTTCACTTGCGGGAGCTGTCTGAAAGAAATACTGGCACATGTACAAAGAAATGTGTTCAAGGTCATTAAAAACACTATAGTTTGTAATAGCAAAAACCTGGAAACACCTACATGCACTAACAGGAAATCATTAAATTTTAACATGTATTTTTAGCACAGAAGATTATAGAACAATTAAAAGGAATGATTTAGATCTACATATTCTGCAGTAGAATGATCTCCAAAATGTATTGCTGAAAGCTAAAAAGCAAAACGCAAAAAAGTACATATAGAATGGTCCCATTTCTATAACAGTGAAAATGCTATGATTTTATGTTGTTATAAATGTTTACAAGTACATTGAAAAGATCAACAGATTAATATTAATTGTTGTCTCTGGAGATAGGGGTAAAACAGTGAAAATGCTATGATTTTATGTTGTTATAAATGTTTACAAGTACATTGAAAAGATCACCAGATTAATATTAATTGTTGTCTCTGGAGATAGGGGTAAGATTAACAGGATAAAAGCTGATTTTATTTTTCATTGTTTTGTTTTTATATTTCTTGAATTCATCTGAATTTGTTGATGTTCTACTTGTGGGATTTTTAAGAAAAATACAAAATTGTCTTAAATTGTGTTAAGTTAAAATAATTGATTTGGAGAATCAATTTTACGATTTGCTAATTTATTCATCAAGGGTTTAATTTCCTACTATATATCAGGCAATATGTTGGGTTATTTGGTATATAGCAGTGAATAAAATAGGAAGAATTCCTGTCCTTGTAAGACTTACCCTCCAGTTGATTCAGGTTTCAATGATCTTCTCTTCTCTATATAGGCTACCCTTATTCTTATAAGATTCCCCACTCCCAAGAAAAATACCTTAGACCAGTTTCCTGCACTTTTTATGATCTCGTGAAGAAATGTAAGCAATGAAGCATGGAGAGTACATACATAAGACCTCTCTAAACTACTGTGTCTTTGCTTTACAATCACACTGCAGATTATCAAAAGCAACAGGAAAAAAATAGTACAGCATTAGTAAAATAGGCTTTCTTGGGCTGCCCTACCAACTTCCAAATTCTTTCTATGATGGTTTCTATGAGAAAAACCACCGACTTCTAAACAGCTGACTTAGCAAATGTATGGCTGGAGCATATGCTGTTTGTAAGTTGTCGACAGCCTGTACTTAGGCAACTGCTAGCTTAAATAGCTAAAAGCTATCTGGCACCCACACAGAAGTTCTTGTACACACACTTTACATTATGACACTTACTAAGGCATAATAATTAAGAGAGAATGTCAGCCTCTAGGAGTATCCTTTGAGGTTCTTCCACCAGCTGGAACCTAAACACCATGCTAGGCTTTAGCTACAAGCCTGCCCACACTGGTAGCAAAAAATCGAATTCATGCTTCTGAGCAGCCTCTGAGGCACAGCATTTATATTTCATAGCCATTCTTATTTTCTCTTCTTTTTTTCTTAAACATGCAAATGAAAATTCCCCATTTTCAGTTGCCAGAACAGCTGAATATTGCTATCATCAGAAAAATTAAATGTTTGTCTCAAAGGAACAACTACTTTTTAGAAATTCCTGTGCATCTCAGGGCAAAGAAAAAAATGTCATTGACAATTCATCTTTGCTACAGGATGCATGTACTTATTGCACATGGCTTGTCACAGCTGAGAACAATTCCAGTCCAGAGTGGACAGAAAATTATTTTGGTTTGGAAAGAGACATCATGACTAGATGCTGAATATTCAACTCCAAAGCCAGTCTCACCTCCATCAATCTATGTGACCTTGAGTAAACCACTTGATATTTCAGTGCTCGTCCATATTCTATTTCCTTCCTCATACTGTTCTATCTGCCTGGAATAGCTTCTCTGATATCTCTGCCATGTCTCAAATTCTTATAAACTGCTGTTCTGCAAAGCCTTCCCTGAGTTCCTTAAGCCAAATCAGCTTCCTTCCTACTCATTTCCCCATTCTAGATTGCCTGCACTTCCACTGTATCATTTATTGCATGGCATTATCATTGCATATTTATTATTCTATGTGTTTTAGTTTATCATGCTATTTTATGACCATCGTAATGATCAGGCAATATGCTATTATTACTGGTCCTACTAATATTAATAAAACTATTAGTATTATTATGTGTGTTTACTATGTGTCAGGCCCTCTCTAATTGTCACAAAAACCCTATGAGATGAGTATTACCATTATTGCCATTCTTTATAGTTGAGGAAAGTAAAACCAAGAGAGATTATACTCATGTCTAGTAAGGGTACTGGGGGTAAAGATAAAACCTATTTTACATTAAAGCCCATACTTTTAACCACTACCCTGAAATATTACCTTTAAATAAGAATAGATAACATTTACTAAGTGCTTACTAGGTGTCAGGATCTGCACTGTGTGCTCTACAAACATTAGCTAATTTGATCCTCACCAAAACCCTGTGATATAGATATAGTGATTATGATCTCGTTTTTAAAAATGAAATTAAGGTTAAGAATGGTTAAATGACCTGCCCAGAACTATGGAGATGGGATTTGAGTGCAAGTCACTCTCCCTCCAGAGCCTAAGCCCTTACTCACTACTCCATGAAGAGATGATAGAATCTTCTTTAATCTTTGCAAACACTGCATGGGTTTTCAGGAAAAACCCCTCTGGAAACAGAAAAGGGAACCTTACTCCTGCTCAGTAACACAAATCAACTGAATGGATCAGCTCCCTAAGCACTCACCTTAGTACATGTGTGGATCCGTTAATGGTTGTGGTTGAACAAGGGACAGTCTGGCCCAGAATGGGAGGTCTCCGATAGCGCTCATCATCACAGCAGAGGATGATGAGGAAGGCACGTCTAAAAGACTTATTCAAGAAAGCGTAGAGAAAGGGGTTCAACCCAGAATTGATATAGCCAAGCCAGAGGAAAGCGGTCCACACCTGCCCAGGGACAGTGTAGTCTATGAAAGGATCCACAATATTGGTGACAAAGAATGGAGCCCAGCAGAGGCAGAAGCAACCCATGATGATGCACAGGGTCTTGGCTGCTTTGGTCTCTGTCCTCATCCGATGAGTGCTGTGCTGGTCCGCTGGCTGGGGCCTGCCCTCGGAGGGGGCTCCCGCCCGCTGTAACATCTGGATCTGGTGGGCATGCTCCTTAGCTGTGACATAGATGCGGTAATAGGCCAGCACCATGAGGAGAAACGGGATGTAGAAGGCCACTACAGAGCAGGTGATGGCATAGGGCTTGTTGACCATGAAGACACAGTACGTAGAGTTGGAGTGCTGGCTGAACTTCCTTTTTTCTATCTGAGAGTTGCAGGGAGAGAGGACATGAGGAAAGGAGGGAGAAAAGGAAGAAAAAAGTGAAGAAGCAGCAAGAGAAAAATGAGGAAAAGCATAAAAAAAGAAAAGGAGTAAAAATGAAGAGAGAAAAGGGGGAATTAGAAGACAGAAGGGGAGGGGAACATGGAAGGGAAGGGAAGGAAAAATAAAAGGGTAACAGGAAAAGGAAGGAAAGAAGGCTTATCAGCAAAGGTTTGTTTTTCTTATAAGCCTACAATACATAGAACCTTGATGGTAGAAAAGTAACATGGTCACATCCCAGGGCTCAGAGAGCTTGTCTACACAAGAGGAGCTGAAGGCTCCAGGAAAGAGGAAAAATCAAACAGGGACAGAATTATTCTTCATTCCATGGACCCAACTGACAGTAGAGTTCTACCTCTCTCCTCCCTTCCCTCTTCTGTCTGCATATAATGTATGAACGTCTTTAACAAAATGTCTGTAGAGCAATAACATCAGCAATAACAGAGAGTTCTACCTCTCTCCTCCCTTCCCTCTTCTGTCTGCATATAATGTATGAACGTCTTTAACAAAATGTCTGTAGAGCAATAACATCAGCAATAACAGCACCTGCAGTGCTTATTATAAGTGCAGACAAATTCCTGCCCCCCAAGACCCCAACCCACTGCCCGTTCCAAGTTCTACTGAATCTAAAAAATCTCTGGGCAGTGAAATTCAGATATCTGCATTTTTTAGTAAGCTTTTGTTTGTTTTTGTTGTTGTTGTTGAATAATTCTAAAGCTCATTAACATCTGTGAACAACTGCTCTCCACCATTCTAAACCTAGCTCTTTGGGGAATGCCATGGGGCACTTTTCTAGACTCATTTTTCTGCTCACTGAGTGCCCTGGTAGAGGTTTTTCTCATTTATATAACACAATATTCAAAGTACTAGTATAGAGTAATGGGCCTTAGGGCTTGGGAGAAAGAAAAGGTAGATATTTTAGAATTATGGGACAAAAGAATATGTAGACTGGGTAGGACAAGATCACGAGAGACCTTGAAACCCAACCAGAGTTGGGACGTGGGTAATACTCACTGCCTCAACTTACTCTCCTCTATTTTCTCCTGAGCCCACTCCATTGAAGTTGCTCTCGTCAAGGCTACCAATGACCTTCATGTTGCCAAGTCCAGTCCTCATTTTAAATGAGCCATCTGAATCCTCCATCCTTAATATCCCCTATCAGTTGTGGTATACCTTTTCACTCTGTTACTATTACCTTTTGATATAAAGAAGTTCTTAATTTTAAGAACCTACACTTTTGGTTAGTAGTTTTGTGTCCTGTTTAAGAAATCTTTGTTTACCCTTAAGTATAAAGATATTCTAATATCTAATCTTTTAAAGACACTCTCTTATATTATCTCTTGGCATATCTTTATTATGTTAGTTTTTACATTTAATTATTCTACCCAGGTGGAATTAGTTTTTCTGTATGTGTGATACGGGAGACAAGATTAAATTTTTACCTTACAAATATCCAATTGACCCAGGATCATTTGTTGAAACAACATTTTTCCAGCTATACTGCAGTATAATCTTGGTTATAAAGGAGGGGACTGTATATGCACAGCTCTTAGCTTCCATTTTCTATTTTGTTCCTTTTGTTGTCTGTCTATGCACCATACTGTTTTTACTTCTGTAGCTTTATTAATCTTGTATATCTAATAGTAAAAGTCTTTGTATTGTGGTTCATCTTCTTGAAGACTGTCTTGGCTTTTCTCACATTTCAGTATACCCATATAAAATTCAGAATTAGCTTATCAATTTCCATAAAAATCTTGTAGGATTTGATTGGCATTAGAATAGAATGTTGAGAAAAACTAGTGTCTTTACAATGTGAAGTCTTCCAATTCACATACATGGTACTTCCTTCCCTTTGTTCATCTTTTTATTACAGCAATATTTTATAATTTTATAATCTTCTGTGTAAATGTTTTGCATATCATTTTTTATATTTATTCCTAAGTATTTTGTGTTTTTATTCTACTGTACATGTACCATGCTAAAATTCTTATTTCTAATTGTTGCTGATATTTAGAACTCAGTGAGAATTTTTTGTGTATTGGCTATGTATCAGCAACTTTGCTTAGTTATTAACTAATATTTCACGTCCAGATTACTTTGAATTTTCTCTCCATGAATACTCATGTGATTTGCAAATAATGGCAGTTACATTTCTTCCTTTCCAATCTTAATACCATTTTTTACTGCTTTATTGACCTTAATAGGACCTCCAGTCTAATTCTGAATAAAAGTGATAATGGTTGACACCTGGTTCAATCCCCTGTTTGGGGGTGAGCCTTCAATATTTTACTATTAAGTATGATACTTGCTACAAGCCTTATGTCAATGCCCTCTACTTGATTGAAGCACTTCGCTTCTATTAGTTTGATGAGATTTATCTTTTAAAAGTCATGAATAGATACTGAAATTTGTCAATAAATCTTTGGCAGTAACAAGATGATCATGTAGATTTCTCCCCCACCCCCACACCCCATTGTTTGTTTGTTTGTTTTAATTACTGTAGTGAATTACATTGATTGTTTTGCATTCCTGGAATAAACCTCTCTTCTTCTGTATGCTGTGATACACTAGATTCCTTTCGGATTGAAGCACTTTTCCACCAACTACCAACATTGCCTGTTCTAGGAATCAGCCTTCTCTAGGACTAGCACTTGATTGAAGACAGCAGCTTAGCCCAATGTCACTTCCCCTTCTTGGGATCCATCTGCATCCAGTGTCAATATACACATGAATAAAGACATGGAAAATATACATACATATATGATATACACACAAATATGGTATTTTATTAATTGTCTACACATTTAGTATCTTGTCTTATAGTATAGGGTTATAACATATCTTACTCTTGAATTGATATTTTTCCTATTATTAAATATCTTTATCTCTAGTAATATTAATTGCCTGAAATTTTATCATTTATATTAGTAAAGCTACACGAGCTTTCTTTTAATTAGTGGTTGCATAGTATATGTTTTTTCCATTATTTTATTTTTAATCTTTCTGTTACTTTATATTTAGTGGGCCTCTCTTACAAGCAGTATATATGAAGGTACTTCAAAAAGTCCATGGAAAAATTGAATAACAAGATAATACAAATCTTTCCATCGACTTTTTGAAGATCCCTCATATTGCATTTTGTTTTGATACAATCTGACAATCTTTGTCTTTTAGCATCTTTTCTTTGAAGACTTTAATCATTTAAATTTACTATAATCCCAGATTGATTTATATTTAAGTCTACTATCTTACTGTTTCTATTTATGTCTTTTGTTTTTTGCTCCTTTTTTTCCTCCCTTAATGCTTATTTTTGGAATAATATTTTATATATATATATATATACATATATACATACACACACACAGAGAGAGAGAGAGAGAGAGAGATAATCACATTATTCCTCCCTCTATGAGCTTATTCATTCTTTTATTATCTTTATTTTAGAGACTACAGCTTACTGCTGTCTACTTACTGCTTTTTCCATTTCTTTGGCAATGCAAAGATCTTAAACACCTGCACTTGATTGAAGACAGCAGCTTAGCCCAATGTCACTTCCCCTTCTTGGGATCCATCTGCATCCAGTGTCAATATACACATGAATAAAGACATGGAAAATATACATACATATATGATATACACACAAATATGGTATTTTATTAATTGTCTACACATTTAGTATCTTGTCTTATAGTATAGGGTTATAACATATCTTACTCTTGAATTGATATTTTTCCTATTATTAAATATCTTTATCTCTAGTAATATTAATTGCCTGAAATTTTATCATTTATATTAGTAAAGCTACACGAGCTTTCTTTTAATTAGTGGTTGCATAGTATATGTTTTTTCCATTATTTTATTTTTAATCTTTCTGTTACTTTATATTTAGTGGGCCTCTCTTACAAGCAGTATATATGAAGGTACTTCAAAAAGTCCATGGAAAAATTGAATAACAAGATAATACAAATCTTTCCATCGACTTTTTGAAGATCCCTCATATTGCATTTTGTTTTGATACAATCTGACAATCTTTGTCTTTTAGCATCTTTTCTTTGAAGACTTTAATCATTTAAATTTACTATAATCCCAGATTGATTTATATTTAAGTCTACTATCTTACTGTTTCTATTTATGTCTTTTGTTTTTTGCTCCTTTTTTGGAATAATATTTTATATATATATAAATATATATATAAATATCTCCATTTACCTAGCCCACTTCTGCCTATTTTATGCTGTTGTTTTCATGTATTTTAATTCTGCATGTATTTTAAAACCCAAAAGACATTAACATTATTGTTGCTTGGATAGTTACTGTTCTTGTGTATTACCCACAGTTACCGTTTCTAGTGCTCTGCACTCTTTCCTGATGTGGGGTGCTTCCATCTGGCATCATTTTCCTTTTGAATGAAAAATTCTCCTTGAAGTAACTTTTAATACAAACCTGCTGCTAAAGAACTCCCTCAGTTTCTGTTTGCCTGAAAATGTCTTTACTTCCTCTGCATTTCTGAAGAATATTTTTATTGGGCATAGAATTCTAAGTTGCACATTTAAAAAAAAATCATTTTAAAGATGCCATTCCATTGTCTTTTTGATTCCATCCTTTCATGGCAGGGTCAGCTGTAAGTCTTATTTTACTCTGTAAATTTAATTTATCTTTTTTTCTCTAATAGTTTTTGATATTTATCTCTTTGTCTTTGATTTTCAGCAGTTTTAAAAATAAATTTTCTAGATATGGTTTTCTTTTTTATTTAACCATCTAGGATTTCACAGGGTTACTTCAATCTGTTACTGATGGCTTTCAGCTGTTTTGAAAATTCTTAGCCAATATTTCTTCAGATATTACATCTGCCCTATTCTTTTTCTCTTCTCCTTCTATAACACCAATTATATAAATGTTATAACTTTTGTTTATGGTGTATATCACATTGTCTGAAATTTTTA